TATGGGGGAAGAATGAAAAAATTGGCTTTATGTAGTCTGGAGAAGAGAAGACTGAGAGGGAACATACATTTTCAAGTACATAAAAGGTTGTTACAAGGAGAAAGGAGAAAAATTGTTCTTCTTAATCTCTGAGGATAGGACAAGAAGTAATGGGCTTAAATTGCAGCAAGGGCATACATTAGGAAAAACTTTAGGTTGTACATTAGGAAAAACTTCCCAACTGTCAGAGTGGTTAAGCACTGAAATAAATTGCCTAGGGAGGTGGTGGAATCTCCATCATTGGGGATTTTTAAGAGCAGTTTGGACAAATACCTGTCAGGGATGGTCTAGATAATACTTAGTCGTGCCTTGAGTGCCTGGGACTGGACTAGATGACTTCTCAAGGTCCCTTCCAATTCTATGGTTCTATGATTCTGCATAGGCTTAAGTCCCATTGAAAGCTATAGGACTTAAGCACATGCTAAAAGTTAAATGCTGTGAAGAATAGGGATGCACTTATGAACATAATAAAGTACTTTCATGAATTAGATCTATGGAGCGTATAGTATCAAATGGGCCTTCTGCATTCTGCTGAGTTTTACCCCTTGATAATTGAAGAATGGCAGACTTGTTTGGAGAGTACAAAAACAATTCGACTAAACTGAGGCTGTAGTAAAAGTCTCAGCAGAGAGCTTATTTTTGTAAGGTTGCCAGTTTGATCTCTTAAACAGAGGGACTTGGTTAAACTGAAGATAAGCATTAAAAAGTTTAGATGATTATGTGAACAGAACTTCTGAACCTCTTGAGTTTCTCCAATCATTAATCATAAATGCAATGGAGTTCTTGTGATCAAAAAATATCTGGTTTATAGAGGATGTCTTTCTGCAGAGCATGGCTGAAAGCCTTTAGCTTAGCACGGGAGAGGAGAAATGGTGTAGCAAAATGTCAGGAGGAAGGGGAAAAGATTCACGTTGGTTGGATGGAAGAGAGTCTCAAAGGAAGAGTTGCAAATACCTATGTGTGGGTTTGTTGGGAAATAACACTGTCATTACTATAGTGGGTAGTTTTTATAATAAAACTGAACATAAAACAAGCTTAAGATGGCTAAATATAGGCAACAATTGACCAAGTCTTTACTCTGTGGGAAGTCACATCTAGAAAAGCTGAAATTCAGAGTATTTGCACATGAGAGTTGTTTGTAGAGTCACTCAATATTTTTGTACATGGTTACAAAAGTATCACTCTGCTGTAATGATGAAAAGAATGGTGATTGAAACTAACAGTGTGTGATCAGTTAATTCTTTGTATACTGCAATCAGTCAGTAGTACATATGCAATATGCTGTGATTGGGAAGAAGGCAGCAGTAGCTCCAAGTGGCTGGTAAGGTCCTTTGACATTTCTTCAGAGGAGGAGAAGGAAGGGTATGAATTAACTTACATCTATGCAGGCAAGCAGAAAAGCAAATAGTGTAATGTACTTCACAATGTCTTCGCCTGTTTGTTAGCTCGCAGAAAGGAAAATGTACAGAACAAAGATGACTGAGTAACTGAAAAAACATCCCACCCTTGCAAATGGCAACTGCTTTCTGAAAGTATAAAAAGGTCCTTCCACAGCAAGTCCAAAAAGAAGTAATTTTTAAATGTACAGCCTTTGACCATGTGAATCACTCTAAGATTAAATTGTAATGTTACACTCGCTCTCCCTCCCTCCCCTCCCTTGGGGCAAAATGCAATAACTCTCTCTTTATTTGTAATGCCCCAAAATTGATAAGGACGCTGAACAAACGGCAGTATGACGACTGAAATAGAAACTGAAGTAACTTTCCTTCTGGTGCTAGGTTTGTGATGACGCTTTCTAGTTTTCCACAAACTTGGAAGCTTATATTCACTGTGTTTGCTTATTTTGCTTCAAATGATGGTCTTTGTGATTCATCTCCGACTACATCTCAGAAACCTGATTTAGTTAAAATTCCAGCTTTTACACATATAGGAGTTTCAGCAAATTTGTGGCCTGATTCTGATCTCCCACCTGTTGACATAACTCAGGAATAAGTCCATTGAAGTTTGTGGAGTTTTACACTAGTATAAATGACATCAGAATCAAGCCTAAGAATCAGAATGGTAATTACTTTTAGGGCATTGACAAATGCATGTGGTGATTTTGTGTGTGGGGGGGGAGGGGATAGGGGGTTGGTTATATTGAAAAGGACACAAAGATCAGCACTTATGTATATTTAACAATATGTCCTATCATTATAAGTCTCATTGATACAATTAACTTAGGCTTGAATAGAGACTGGGAGTGGATGGGTCATTACAAAAAGTAAAACTAATTTCCCCATGTTTATCCCACCCCCCACTGTTCCTCAGACGTTCTTGTCAACTGTTGGAAATGGCCCACCTTGATTATCACTACAAAAGGTTCCGCCCCCCACTCTCCTGCTGGTAATAGCTCACCTTAAGTGATCACTCTGGTTACAGTGTATATGGTAACACTCATTGTTTCATGTTCTCTATGTATATAAATCTCCCCACTGTATTTTCCACTGAATGCATCCGATGAAGTGAGTAGTAGCTCACGAAAGCTTATGCTCAAATAAATTTGTTAGTCTCTAAGGTGCCACAAGTCCTTCTTTTCTTTAGTGTAAGGTGGTGTCAGTAAGAGCCAGAGTTGACCATCTGTAATCAACCAATATTCATTTGATGCAATGCTAATAGGTTGAGGAAAAACGATGAAACAAACTAACCATAGTAGAACATCAGTGAATTAAAACACCACAATTATTCTCTTCTTACATATTTGTATACAAATTGTGCAAATACACTGTTCTTTATACATAAACCTTTTTTATTCTTGTCTTTTCATAAAACATTTTAGTACAAGAAAATGGATGCTTCATTAAGTTTCAACACTTAATTTCTCTAATCCTAAAAAATGTTTTAGAGGCAAATTATAAGAATGAAAATAGAAAAACAAATCCATTACCTCTGTAACACCAGACTGAATCAGGAGAGATACTGTAATAACTGTAAAGACAAATACACTACCAATGTCTTGCAAATGTAGAGGAACATATTTAAAGCAAAAGGCTTGTCTGCAGCAACAAACTATAGTACTTGCGACTTGGGTTATTTTCTCCCAAGATCTTCTGATGTTCTGTTTAAAAATTGTTGTTTGGGTGGGAAATGGGGGAAGAATGGGCAGCTTTCAAATTTTCAGACATATATTTTCAGAATTGCAGCTTTCAAGCAGATGGATCAAATCTTCAAAATTTGATTTATTTGCTGGCACGCTTTAAAAAAAAATCACTTGCTTATGCAAATTTCCATGTGAAAAATCCATTGCATGCACTAATCCAGTCCAAATGGATTTTGTGCTGGCTATTCGCACATGTCTGTGATATAGCTGAAAACTGCATGTACAAATAATCACATGTGCACAGCTAGAAGTTGGGCTGGGATCCCTCTACAAATCTGCTTCACACCGGGTCACATGTAAACCTGTTCAAAATGTAAATTTAACTCATGAGACTCACCTGACATTTGGGCTCTATTACAAATTCAAAGCAGAGGCCAGGTTGACTAGAGTTTACGAACTTTAAGAGCGAGCCTCTGTCCAGTTTTGAACTATCCTTGGCTAAGGTTTCGTAAAATTCATGGTTTTGATGTGTGAAGTTAATGAGTTTAACTTTGAGTTTCAGGTTTGAAAGAACTCAAAAAGTCAGAGTAAAATCCAGGGAGCAAATATGTGCAAGTAACTGTGGACTAAAACCTTAAAATTTTTCACCAGTTTCATCATAATGCTTCCAATCACATACAGTACGAGTGTAAAAGAGATGGAAACAATCATAATGAATGACATATCAACCCTTACTATGTTATCTTGTTACTCACTCAACATTGTAAACCTTTTCAGAAATTGTGAACCTCGTTTCTCCATATTCCCATACTTCTTATGAATATGTTTGGATTTTATTAGCAACAAAGCAGAGAAGATGTAAGAGGGACATTGTACAATCTTAATACTGCAAATGCATACACGTGTTATGGAGGACAGGAGAGGAGAGACATGCACATAGACCTTTCCCCTATGCTGTATGTAAAGACAAACAGTTAAAGTTATCTAGTCTTCCTTACTGGTTTTGGAAGCATTATTTTGTTCTAATTCTATTCTGGGATTTTTCAAAAGCACCTATCTATATCTTTTAGGCTCCTAAATACCTTTGAAAATCTGGCCATAGGGCCTCAAACTAGCAAAGAATTTAAACATGTTTGTAACTTTAAGCATTTGATTAATTTCACGGAAATCAATGGGCCAACTTAAATGTTATACATGCTTAATGTTGCTTTGCTGGACCAGGTCCTAGCACTTGTGGTTGTTTGTGGTGCGTATTTTGGGGTGTGGTGTTTTTTTTTGTTGTTTCTTTGTACTGTCTGTAAGCTTTTCTTTTAAAAAAAAATTGTCCCAGTCCTTTTTGAATCATTCAGTTGTGTCTGGGGAGTATTTTCTTTGTCCAGTTTTCAATATAAAGCTAAGGAACATGACCCCAAGAAAAGCTGTATGCATCTGTGATGCTGGTAGATCAGGTGCCAGCTCTTGCCAAGGCTGTAGGCCTCAGCTGGGCACTGACAGATTCACAGCTGGAAACCAGACCAGCTCACCTGTATGTTAGTATGGTTCAAGATAGGCGTTAGACTTGTGTCAAGGTTCCTTCCCCACTCTGAACTCTAGATGTGGGGACCTGCATGAAAAACCCCCTAAGCTTATTTTTACCAGCTTAGGTTAAAACTTCCCCAAGGTACAAACTATTTTACCTTTTGTCCCTGGACTTTATTGCTGCCACCACCAAGCATCTAACAAATATAACAGGGAAAGAGCCCACCTGGAAACGTCTTTCCCCCCAAAATCCCCCCCAAGCCCTACACCCCTTTCCTGGGAAAGGCTTGATAAAAATCCACACCAATTTGCATAGGTGAACACCGACCCAAACCCTTGGATCTTAAGAACAATGAAAAAGCAATCAGGTTCTTAAAAGAAGAATTTTAATTAAAGAAAAAGTAAAAGAATCACCTCTGTAAAATGAGGATGGTAAATACCTTACAGGGTAATCAGATTCAAAACATAGAGAATCCCTCTAGGCTAAACCTTAAGTTACAAAAAGACACAAAAACAGGAATATATATTCCATTCAGCACAACTTATTTTATCAGCTATTTGAACAGAACAGAATCTATCGCATATCTAACCAGATTGCTTACTAACTCTTTACAGGAGTTCTGACCTGCATTCATGCTCTGGTCCTAGCAAAAGCAACACACAGCCAGAGAGAACCCTTTGTCCCCCACCAGCTTTGAAAGCATCTTGTCTCCTCATTGGTCATTTTGGTCAGGTGCCAGAGAGGTTGTCTTAGCTTCTTAACCCTTTACAGGTGAAAGGGTTTTTTCTCTGGCCAGGAGGGATTTAAAGGTGTTTACCCTTCCCTTTATATTTATGACAACTTGTAAGAATGTGTTTAGTGTTTACACTCTATAAAATACTTGTAAGTGGCTACATGCATTAATCTTACTTGTAATGTCTGTATTCCATGCTATAAGGTAATATGAAAGTTTTGCTTTATAATTGTAAAAATGCCTGCTTTGAACTCAGACAGGAGGAGAGGTTCCCCTGGCCCATCAAGGAGGATTACCAAGACTAAGTGGGCCATTGTGAAGCATCACAATACACAGTCTTTACTAATTGCCCCTACACAAGCTACATGCAGAAGGGCACATCCCCTCAGTTTGAATTCTGGAAGAGGGAAATAAAGATAGCTGACATGACGATTTTTTTCATTTCTTTGCTGTTTGAACTCTCATGGGGCTGCACCTAGGAAACAAAAGTAGAGATCCCTATGGTCAACCTGGGTTAGCCCTGAAACATTCAGTGGATAGATTACTACATCTCTGTCACCTTTTGGAACCATAGACTAATTCATTTGTACACATATGTTGCCTGCTTTAATCTGTAAATAACCCCCTCTCATTTCTTTTGCCTAGTTAATAATCCTTAATTAGTTTACTATATGATTGGCTACAAGTGTTGTCTTTGGTGTGAGATCTGAGGTCCAAATTGAGATGGGGTAAGTTACTGGTCTTTTGGTACTGGAAGCAACCTGAATATTTTGTGATCTTTAGTGTAAGTGACTATTTATCACTAAGTCTAGCTTGCCTGGGTGGCAAGACAGACTGGAGAGCCCAAGGGAACTGTCTGTGACTCCATGGTAAGACGGTTACAGTGCTTCAGGAGTTCATATTTGTTACTGAGTTGATGAAATCTAATGATAGAACATACCACCAGTTTGGGGTGTCTACCCTGCTTCAAAAAACAGTCTGCCCTGAGGTTGGCACTCATAGTCATGAGCCACTCCAGACAGCGTGACCGTATCCTCCATCTCACCCCCTCTACTTCACCTAATCTATTTAGGATCTAATACTGCATGTGAATGGTTTATTAATTAATTTTACAACAAGGTGAGCTCTCTCTCCTTTTTAAGTGTTTTGGTGGAGTCACCCAATTCAGTATAAAAGGCCCAATTCTTTTAAGAAAGGGACTGTGAAGAGACATGCTCTCACTCAGGTATGATGGAGATTAACAAGCTCCTCTGGGCCTGTTCCTCACTAACGAGATGCACCTCCAAGGTTTGTTTGGCCTGGAGGAGGAGGGGCTTAAAAGTGGGGAATTCCCCATGGGAAGGGGTGGTCAACAGGAAAAAGGCTGCCCCAACAGATGCTTCTGGAACAGAGGTAGATCAGCAGAGGAGGAGACACCACTCCTGAAGCTGTTCTGGCTGATAGCAAGTGCCCTAGGAAGAGGGGGAGAAGGTAAACTCTACAAAGAGGCAATAGACTATAGGAGACTAAGCCCTTAGAGCTGAACATCCAGGGGATACATGAGAAACTGGTCCTCTTTCCAGAGAGATCCTCCACTCCCGCAAGGGGAAGGGAAGTGGAGTAGCTAACCCCCTTCCCTTGACTGGTTGCCCTCAGAGAGCATCCCGAAGGGCTGCTAACTGGGGGAGAAGAGAAGGTAAACAATGGACAGGGGACCTGGGGGAGGAGTGTCCAGGGAGCCCCTCCCTGACAGGTAGCCAAAGATCCATATACAGGAACACCTCACTTAAAGTCATCCCAGTTAATGTTGTTACGTTGCTGATCAATTAGGGAATATGCTCATTTAAAGTTGTGCAATGCTCCCTTCTCATGTCGTTTGGCAGCCGCCTGCTTTGTCCACTGCTTGCAGGAAGAGCAGCCTGGTGGGGGCTTGGAACTAGGGTGGGCCGGCAGCCCTCTATCGGCTCTCTGCTCCCCTAAGTTCCCTGTGCAGCAACTGCCCAGCAGGCTACCGATTGCCTGCAGTTCAGCTGTCCCTCCCGCACTGCCATGTGCTGCTCCTGCCCTCTGCCTTGGAGCTGCTTCCCGAGTCTCCTGCTTGCTGTGTGTGGTGGTGGGCTAATGTCAGGGTGTCCCCCTGCACCCCGCTTACCCTATCTTCCATAGGGCAGGGGGGACACACAACAGGGCTCAGGATGGAGGGAGCTTCCTGGCAGCAGCTGCTGTCTCAGCTTGCTGATTAATTTAAAAAGGCAGTGTACTTAAAGGAGCAATACATATCTCTCTCTCACACCAGGTGTGTGTCTCTGTCTGCCATGCTGTCTCCCCTCCCTCCATTCGTGCTGCCTTGAAGAGTGTGAGGCTACATCTGAGGTGGGCAAACTGGCCCATGGGCCACATCCAGCCGCAGGACCCTCTTGCCCAGCCCCTGAGGTCCCGGCCGGGGAGGACAGTCCCAGTCCCCTCCCCCGCTGTTCCCCTTCCCCCGCAGCGTCAGCACACCGTGCAGCTGACACAACGCTCTGGGCGGACAGGCAGCGCAGTTGCAGAGCCGCAGCCTGACCCAGGGCTCTGGGTGGCACAACTGTAGCACCGCCAGCCACCGGTGCTCCAGACAGTGCGGTAAGGGGCCGGGGGGGGGGGGTTGGATGGAGGGCAGGGGAGTTCGGGGGGTGGTGGTTGGAGTTGGGGGTGTGGATAGGGGTAGGGGCGGTCAGAGGATGGGGAACAGAGGGGTTGGATGGGCCAGGGGTCCCGGAGGGCAGTCAGGAAGGAGAGGAGGGGGTGGATGGGGCAGCAGGGGGCAATCGGGGTGAAAGGTCCAGGGGTAGTCAGGGGACAGGGAGCAGGGGTGATGGATGGGTCAGGAGTCCTGGGGGGGCATCAGGGAATGGGGGGGTTGGATGGGGCAGGAGTCCCAGGGGAGCTGTCGGGGGTGAGAAGCTGGGGGGGGTTAGGTAGGAGGCGGGGGCTGCGCCATGCCTGGCTATTTGGGGAGACACAGCCTCCCCTAACTGGCTCTCCATACAATTTTGGAAACTTGATGTGGCCCTCAGGCCAAAAAGTTTGCTAGCCCCTGGGCTACATTAACAACAATGAGTTAACTCTGGAGGGCTCAACTAGGGTGACCAGATGTCCCAATTTTATAGTGACAGTCCCAATTTGGGGGTCTTTTTCTTATATAGACTCCTATTACCACCACCCCCCAGTCCCGATTTTTCACATTTTGCTGTTGTAGGCTCAGCCAATTGCTAGTTCATCATTTAGCGGTAAGGCATCCCCAGGGAAATATCCCACCCTCTGACTTCACCACCTCAACCAAGCTTCACAATCATCATTGCTGTGTACCAGTATTAAATTTTTTGTTTAAAACTTGTACTCGTGTGTGTGTGTGTGTATATATGTGTGTGTGTGTATATATATATATATAAAAATGTAAGCAGAGTCAGGATGAGCTCTACCCTGACATCTGGTGGCGAGTCGTGGTGGGTTACGGAAAACAACTTCAAGGGCTGATCTCATTTGCATAGGCACACCCACCCCGCCTAGTTGGTCACTTTGGCTGCTATAGGAGCCCCAGTTTCTCTGTTGTTGGGGCAAGAAGAATAAACTGTTATCCTGATTATGTGAATCAAGGACAGTGGAACTGTCCTTGGCCTTTTGTTATGATGGAGGGACTCGCCATCAACTAAGCAGCACTCGCTAGGCAAGGGTCATGGGTTCCAAAACCCAGTGAATTGAGAGAGGCTGGGGATAGGTATTAATATCTGGTGCTATGGGCCTCCTGGTGAGGGTCCTACATGCCAATTGCACCCTCTTCCCCCCCCCCCCCCAGTGGAATATCAGAGCTAGTTTTGATTCCACTAGGAGTCTAGTTACAGGCTGTTGAGCTGAGTTCACTTTGGGCCAATGGTGTACCAGCACTAAGGCTCCCCTAGTACAAGCAGAAATCACTAAAGAGCTAAAATTACTAAGAGCTGAAATCACTGAGCATTGTGTTTAGTGGTGGGGCCTGAAGAGATTGTGGAGCAGTTTGCGGGACGGCAGGAATGGCTCACGAGATGGCTGGTGGAGCAGAGCCCTACGAAGAGGTTGGGCAGTCAGCTTTGGACCACATAAGGTGCCCCTTAAACCCCCCCTGCCCCATTTCCACCCAGGTTGGGAGGTAAAATTCTACAGATAAACTTTTGAACTCTGGGGCTGCCCTGACCAGGGACAGAGACTTTTGGGTTGTTGGTTGCTGGACTCAAGAACCAAAGGGAAAGGACATGGCCCAGTTTGCTTGGGATGGGTTTTGGCTTATGGGTTGTGTTATGAATTCTGTTGGTGGTGTTTCCCTAACACAATGCCACATTGTTTCTCTCTGTTATTAAAAGGCTTTTGCTACACCCAGACTCTGTGCTTCTGAGAGGGGAAGTATTGCCTCTTAGAGGCGCGTAGCAGGGGTGGTATATTTGTCCCAGGTCACTGGGTGGGGGCTCGAGTCAGTTTTGCATTGTGTTATTGGAATGAAACCCCTAGATACTGAACCCGGCCCTTGTTGCTGCCAACTCTGATGGGCAGAAGGGTTACATATCTATAGTGGCAAATTACCGGTACAATTATGATGGGTCCCGCGCTCCCTCTTCTTGGGGGTGGGGGATAGGGTGGTTCAGGGCACAGTTCCCTGCTCCTGAACTAGGGTATCTACTGTCCCACCACTAACCCAGAGAAGGGTAGTGGAGAGGGAGGGACCCGGGCCCCCCCTTTACTCCGGGTCCTAGGGATAGTGGTAAACCACTTGAACTAGTGCTTCCTTCCCCTGCTACTTCCCTCTCCTGCTCTTCAGCTTGTGGGGCTTCCTGCCTTTTCTCTCTCTCTCTTCACAAGCTGGGTGTCTCTTTACCTAGGGTCTTGATCTTCTAGCCAGCCATGGCACTTCTCCAAACTCTCCTCTGCTCCAACTCCTTTTCCTGGCTGATTGAAGCAGGAGGATTTTATCAGGTGACTAGCTTCAGGTGCTCTAAGTGGCTTCAGGTGCTTTTAATTAATCTATAGAAACCTTTCTTCCCTCTACAGGGAATAAGGTTTCCCCTCATCTTGGGACTTACATATCTCTCCTATATCACTCTCCTGCTGCCTTCTGGCCATGCTGTATCATAATATAGTCTTTTGTCTGGTGAAAAAAATGTCCCTGGAACCTAACTCCCCCACCCCCATTTACCTTAATTCTTATGGGGAAATTGGATTTGCTTAACATTGTTTCTCTTCAAGGCGCATTTTTCAGGAACGTAACTACAACGTTAAGGAAGGAGTTACTGTACAAGTATGCATAATGTGTGCTACATTTTCATGCATAATTCCTTAGAGGTTGTAATATGTATTCTTCCCTAATTTTTCTAAAATATGCTGCTGTTACAGAATGGCTAATGTGTTCCAACTCAGAGGTGTTACAACCCAGATGGAGTTGTATTTCAGTAGTATGATTCTATGTATATACAATTTACGAAGTTCTTT